GAACATTATCTAGACCATTTGAATATTATCTTGGACCAAGCACGGCTTATGAGAGGAAGGAGGGAACATTTTTTTTCCTGCTAAGCTTTTCAGGACTAAAGCCTCACTGTGCTCAGTAATGTGGACATGTATGGCTGCACGAGCTGAGTGATAAAAGTGTTTGTGCAAGTTTTATTACAGGAGCACGAATTAGAGGAATTCGAGGGAACAGATGAAAGAACATTATTTGGAGAAGTCATTCCTGCCAGTAAAGGCTGAGTCATAATGCAGAAACAAATGTTCTGCATGGCACTTAAACTCATTCTGCCCACTGTTCCCTGCACAAGTTAATGAATAATGCCTTGATTATTCATTTGGCAACAGATGGATTCTTTCACTGAAAGTGCCACTTGCAGGGCACATTAGTGGAAAAATAGAGACATAAAAGGACTGGTATAACTGTACATTTAAAATATAGTTGCTGGTAACTCTAATCTTTAAAGTTGCGTCGTATTTTATAAGCTGATAATAAATTTTGCATGCACAGATAATGTGGAACATGCCCAATAAAATAAGATGTCCTTTAATCCAGGAGTCATGTCTCATGTTATGCCCAAATGGTGAACACAACACAGCCACAACAATCAGCGATCATAACTTTAGTTGTAAACTAAACGCGTTCTTCGTATAACATCAGGGTCACTGCTGAAGTTGCACCAATCCATTCTTCATGGACATAATTTCTAGAGGGACTTCTAATGATCTCATCATGAAATTTGACTATTATATTTGAAATGGTTATTAACTGTTTTGTGGGAAGTGTAGTGGTTAGCTATGTCACCTGACATGAAGAAGTTCAGGGTCGTGAAATGTTTTGCTGGTCAGCTAGTGATTCTGTCTCTGTGGATTTTGTAAGGAGTCCAAATACAGGTTTGATTAATTTGGTAATTATAAATTGGCTGTATGTATAAATGTGAGGATGAGTGAGTTTTTTCATCTGGGGAATAAAACAAATAAGCAAACCAAAAACATATCTCTGGCATATTTAATGACCTATGTCACTGAAAAGCAAAGGTAATTAGATGCTTTTTGTTGGTTAAAACATGTTGTCTTGTAATTGTGTAATTTCAAGAGTGAAACCACTCTGTTTAGATCAGTTTCTGCTGCAGCAACATACAAGAATCCATTAAGTCTCATAATATCCTGCATCCAAATGTTAATCCTTCTAGTAGCTTCATGCTGGCCCTCCTCTGTAGAGGAGTAGTGGTGTTTGCCTTTTTAAGGCCAACACAGCCTCAGCTGTGGACAACCCAAGACTTTCATGTCACTCCACTCTGATGTTTGCCTTTGCCTCAACAGCCTGGAGCAGCAGCAGCAGAGACAGGGAAGCTGTCTTTGTGTGGTTGTTATCCTGCCAGGTTCTGGCTGAAACTGCATGAACCTGAATATTGTTATGTACTACATTATGTACTGTCTGTACTACAAAACGAGTTCACCATACCCAGGGTATCTTTCTGTTATCTGGAATCACTTACCTCAACATCGGCTGTCGGGATACGCAGTCACGCGGAGCTGGTTATAAACTCGCTAAGTTACCCCAGGGTTAACTGCATGTTCACATGAAAAGGTGCAGTGCTTGCATTAGCATCTGACTAATCACAAACATGGATGTGTGTATCTGCAGTAGAGTGGCTGATTTCACGAAACGGATGATGAAATTGTGCTATGGGAAAAATACGAAACAGCTAAACACATAATATAGCTTAAAGGTAGCTTTAGACTGGTTCTCCTGTGACCCAGATAAACAGAAGATGAATTGGTGATTGAGCTACAATATGTAATCTTTTTGCTCATCTATTCAGCAAAATGCAGCTACAAAGACATCTTTTTTGACTTGTCAGCACACTCCAAGAAGGCATTCTATAAATATAAACATGAAATAAGTAGTAACTACCCGTGTATGCTAAGGTCCAGAGATGCCCATTTTTCTGTCTGTTTCTGCTGCTGCCAAAATTCATGAATCAATCCTAAAAGACTATTAATGTCGAATTTTCGTATTAAAGTAACAACGGCAAATGTCCAATAAGAGCTTTGTCTCATGAAACTATATTGAACAAACAATGGACCAGTTGATCCTGTGCATCAAATAAAATGTCTTGATATTTGTTGGATAGATTGCCAAGAAATCTGCTTAGTCTGTGTTGCAGCTCTAGCAGGCCTTCCCAGGTTTTACCTGTGTGGGTGTGTCTGTTTTCACGCTCCACCATCTGTGCAGCTGATTTCCATCACCAATTAGGGTTGGAGTGCTTATTGCCAGTCAGAGGAGAGTTCTGATGATAGAGTGCTATTCTCTTGGCAATATCTCAACTGTGTGTTTGTGGGTTAAGATTGTGACTTACTGCTATTTCAACCAGCTTCTGCGTTTTGCTCTGCATTACTTAGTTTTGTGATAGTGATAATGGCTTTTCTGGCTCTTTTAGTTAATTATTAATTCTTTATTTTATTGCCACTGTCTTCTTTTTCAACCAGCATGCTTTTATTGTTACTTAGGTGATGTAGTAGTCCCCTTAAGATTGCTTGTACTAATCTTGTTGCACCAATACTAAGCCTAAAAGTTTTCTTTGCTATTTGGGTTTAAGATCTGGGAAAACTAATTTATTCATCTCCTTCCAAAAGATGTTTGTTTTTGTTGCTCATTTGCAAATGAAGGATGGTGAACATGTTAAACCTCATACCAGCCACGCAAGCTGATATGATTTAGCTCAAAGTAGACCTGTGCAGTACAGTCTCACAGAGCTGCTATTATGGCTGTGATTTCTGTGCCTCATTACAGGATGTTTGAACTCTGATTCAGTGTACTGGGTTCATTTAGATGTCAAAGTAACCTCAGAGTTTCTATTTACAGTTGTTCTAATTGTTTGTCTGAAGATACATGTCTCCTGGATACGAGAACAACCATTTGAAGGAATAGATATGATACATTTATTAAATATGTCAGCCGTCCTGCATTTTTAGCATAGCTTTTGACAAACATTATTATCATTTGTTGTTATAACTTTAGTTCATGAGTTTAGTTTTATCCATCCATCTTCTTCCACTTTATCCGGGGCCGGGTCGCGGGGGCAGCAGCCTAAGCAGAGAAGCCCAGATCTCCCTCTACTCAGCCACCTACTCTAGCTTATCCGGGGCAACACCAAGGCGTTCCCAGGCCAGACGAGAGATATAATCTCTCCAGCGTGTCCTGGGTCTGCCCCGGGGCCTCCTCCCGGTGGGACATGTCCGGAACACCTCGCCCAGGAGGCGTCTTTGTCAGATGCCCGAACCACCTCAGCTGGCTCCTTTCAATGTGGAGGAGCAGCGGCTCTACTGAGCCCCTCCCGGATGGCTGAACTTCTCACCCTATCTCTAAGGGAGAGGCCAGCCACCCTTCAGCGGAAGCTCGTATCCGCGATCTCGTTATTTTGGGTAGTGACCGAAAGAACGAGATAAAATCAGTAGTTAAAATGTAAGTTTTGAAATTTAAGCTTAAAAGTGTGGATTTGGTGTTTTATTCAAATGCTTCTCCGTGTCTGGTTCTGACTCTGGGAACTGATAAAATACTGGATCCAGATGAGCTGAGGGATCTGGAAGGTTCATACTGGGTCAGGAGGTCACTGATGTATTTTGGTCCTAAACCATTCAGAGCTTTATAGACCAGCATCAGAACTTTAAAGTCTGTTTTCTGACGGACAGGCAGCCAGTGTAAAGACCTCAGAGCTGGACTGATGTGGTCCACTTTTTTGGTCTTAGTGAGGACTCGAGCAGCAGGGTTTTGAATGAGCTGTACTTGTCTGACTGATTTTTTTTTTTTTTTTTTAGGCAGACCTGTAAGAATGCTGTTACAGTAATCAAGCCTACTAAAGATGAATGCATGGACTAGTTTTTTCAGGTCCTGTTGAGACATCAGATCTTTTATCCTTGATATATTCTTGAGGTGATAGTAAGCTGATTTTGTTATTGTCTTAATGTGTTTTTCTAAGTTTAGGTCTGCATCCATCACTACACCCAAATTTCTCTCCTGGTTTGTCGTTTTTAGGTGTATAGATTGAAGTTCTCTGGAGGCCTGTAATCGTTTTTCTTTGGCACCAAAGACTATTTCTTCAGTTTTGTTTTTGTTTAGCTGGAGAAAATTGTGGCACAACCAGTCATTAATTTCCTCAATGCATTTACCAACAGCCTGTACAGGGCCTCGGTCTCCTGGTGACATTGTGATATATATTTGTGTGTCACCTACATAGCTATGATAGTTTATTTTGTTGCCAGTGGGAGCATGTAAATGTTAAACAGAGGGGGTCCCAAGATGGAACCTTGTGAAACTCCACATGTGATACTTGTCTGCTCAGATGTGAAGTTACCTATTGGAAAAAATACAAAGTATTTCCTGTTTTCTAAGTATGTTTTGAACCAGTTTAGTACACTTCCTGAAAGACCTGCCCAGTTCTCCAGTGGTTTGAGTAATATGTTGTGGTCATTTGTATCAAATGCTGCACTGAGATCCAGTAAAACTAATACTGACATTTTCCACTGTTTGTATTCAGACATATGTCATTAAACACTTTGGTCAGAGCAGTTTCAGTGCTGTGGTTCTGTCTAAAACCTGACTGGTTCACAAGGGCAGGGGGGCTTTAGGGCGGTGTCGCTATCATACCCTGGCTGTTGGACTGGTCTCTCTGTGCTCTTTACTCATAGCATTAAGATTGTTTCCACACCTCGGCTGTTTGCCTCCCTACGGACTACACATTTCTGTCAGCTATTCTTGGGCTGTTGGTAAACACACTGAGTATAAGTTGCTCAATAGTCTGCATTCTACATTTAGTAAGCCTTGTGTTTTGGAGGGGGCGGTATGTTTGCTTTATTGAACTTTTTCAAGTTAACTTGCAGTCACTTTATTTAAAAAAAATGTAGTTTGTTTCACTGGATTTTTATTGTATTTTATTTACAGTTTTACTTTTTTTGTTAGTTTTTTAAATTATTATTATTTTCAGCATCTTTTATTTTGTTGAGCCCTCTACTTCATTTAAAATATTTTTGTGGTTGCATTTTAGTGTTTTGTCTGCTGTAACTCAAAGATGCTCTTTGGTTTCACTGCACATCTTTCCCATTTTCTTAGCAAAATATAAATAAATTAGGGGTGGCAAAAGACTTTTGCACTGTACTATTTAAATCTATTTGTGCCTTACTGTATGTTTAGTAAGGTAAAATATTTCAGGTAAATATGTGTGTACATTTTCAGTTTCACCTCTTTCCACTTAGCAGAACAAAGTATTTGTAGTTGTTTAAGTGGGAGATCTGAATGTTATATTTTCAGTCTTTGTAGTAGAGACAGTGGGAGTAATAAATGGTTTCACGACTGAGTGAAATGAAAGCCCATCAGTTTGTTGGAAGAAAATGCCGTAATCTCTTCAAACATAATGACAATCACTTACACAGAAGTTAGGGACATGTGTTTTCTCAGTGCAGGCTGAGTTGTGAGGCCCTGCCTGCCCTTCAGGAGAGGAGTTTGATCCCTCGCAGAGCTATTTGGACCTCTGCATTGTTGAACCCTGGTGTTGAATGTGAGCTAAATCCTTTGGCCAGAGGAATAGGGGCTTTATTACAACCTTTAAACAAATCTCTGTAAGGAGATACCTGTGTGTTTAGAGAAGGAATGATTATCTCCAAATACTGACAAGAATCTTGCATGAGATTTAATGCAGGTTTCTATTAACCACCCTACCATCTGGTCTTGTTCTCCTGGTGATTTAATAGGACTGTATAACTGAAATTCAATGCTGGTACGGGTTAAACTGTACTTCTCAGGAAGCAGCTGCAGAGGAGATGCAGGAATTTGTTACCATATGTTTATTTCAGAATTTAATCTGTTTAATGTTTAATCTGTTTTTCCAGAGTCACAATTTGATGGATAGTCTATCTCGTGTTTCTTCGAACAGTATAAAAAACATCTAATACATCCATGTTAGGAGATTTTTATTTTTGTTATTTTATCCCTGGTACTAGCTATTATTTTCAGTTAAGACTTACATTCTGATGATTTTCTTAATCAATTCCTTGGTCTGTAGTGATTTAGAGGCCAATATGTTGCCTTCAAATTGCCCTTTGATCACGAGTCCAAATCATAAATACATTATTTAAATGCTGCTTTCTTTCCCGCTAGCAATCCACTGTTTTAGTAAATGTGAAAAAAGTTCATAAGCAAAAAAAAACAGCAAATGAAATCTGAGAGTGGTTGATATTTTTCCTAAAATATTAACCCTTACCTTGTTCTTCTATCTCAGTCAGACTCATCTTGTAGCTGTAAAGTGTAAGCTAAGATGGCGATGGTGAAAGTGGTCAGCTTGAGGCAGCGGGTGATGTCCTGGTGGTCAAGCAACAAAACTACTGTAGTATTTCCAGAACCCTTTCTTTAAGTTTTTCATCTAGCAATTCATTTTCACTGCTGCTGGCATATGACGTAATAAACACAGAGCAATATGACGTTTAACTGAATGAATTGGTAGCATAGATCTGTTCACAATTTCCACTTTAGATTTTTGAGTCAGGATCAAACAAATATCTGGCCCAAGCTATCCGGGATAGCCAAAATATTGGTACTTTTGAATGGCACAAAAAAAAATTGGGGGCTTTGCGTTGTGGAGAAGTAATGATCATGCCACTGAAGCTTCTTTTTTAGTTAAGAGTGGAATTTTTGAGGACAGACTAATGCAAACAAATTTACAAGCCAAATTCGGACATTGCTTTAAAAACTCCAGAGTCCGGTAGGATCTCTTTAAGGCTGTACTGCTTTAAATGTAATACTGAAGACAGCATGACATCACCATTTTAATTTAGCAGTTTCCATATGTAAAGTCAGTGGAAGTGTTTTGAATTTTATCCAAACTACGCAATTTATGTCGTTTGTCTGACCTGCATACTACGAGTATGTTTCTAGCAGAGGGTCTTGTCCTGTGATCCAAGCAGATCTGTGATTCTTTGCTGCTTTGCTAAGAAATTTTTTAGGTATTAGGAGAGGAAGCTGTGTTTTGGTCTGCTGCTGTGCTCCAGGTTTGGAGGAGGCCCAGGCTCAGCTGGCTTTTCTCTCAAAGACTGACTGACCACAGAGACATACCAGTGTGGAGGGGGGGTGGTTACACTCTCCCCACAGCGTCAGCCCACTGCATGTTAGGTGTTTCCCCCCCCACCCTTCTCTGAAAATGGACACTGCTGGTGTATTTATAAACCCCAACCTCAGCCAGGCTCTCTGTCTTAAACACAGTTAAGGAGCTGTTCGTATTCAGAGTCATGCTGAGCTTTGCTGTCGTGCTTTCTAGACGTTGAATTCTGTCGCTTTGCTTGTGAAACGTTGCCTGGAGGCTCATCAGGTAGGAGAAGAATATATTTGAGCTAAAAACTTTACATTGATTATTATAATTGGTGTGCTCACATATGACTATTATTTCTGTAATGATCACTGTGTATTATAGAGATTTGCTTGTCTTGTTGTGGGAATGACTCATTTTTTTACCAGTTTTCTATAACGGTGAAGTTTCACCGAATGTCATTTAATATCAAAGCCAGTACTAAATTTATCAGTATAGACAGCTAAGTGTTTGTCTATGCTTGACACTGGTATACTGCAGCGATTAGTCAGATGACTAGTAACTTTTTTTAATGTACATATTCATCGTGCAAACATCTCAAAGATCCTTTTCATCTTCTCCGTAGGGGGTTTTGAAATTAGGGGGAAATTTCATCCCTAAAATGCTTCCTATAGGGGAGATTAGGGGATAAAACTTGTGAGCTTCACTACAGGGCTTACAGTTTTTCCTTTAGGCTGTATTTTATTTTTCTACCCTAACTTCAACATCTTTCCTGTCTAACTCGGGACTGTATATTTCACACAGAGCAGCTGATGTCAGTGTTGTAATTTAGAGCAACAAAAATATTCTGAACCAGTTAGCCTGAAAATGTTCCTGTCTGAGGGAGCAAAAGATTCAGATTTTGTATATTTGTGCCGTTCCTTCCTGTGTGTGTGTGTGTGTGTGTGTGTGTGTGTGTGTGTGTGTGTGTGTGTTTTGAGTGGGTTCCTTTCTCATCCATTGACTTACATTTTTAGCTAGTAGTCAAATTTACAAGCCTTCAACTTCACATCTGAACCCTGTCTTGGTATGATAATAACTTCCAGAAACAGCAGAGGAAACTTGTAGTCTTGCAAACAAATGGAAAATTGAGCAAAACATTATTAGGTAACTGAAATTGGGTGTAAGAACTATTTGTGTTACAAGTTGAAAATTTGTGGAAATGGAATGATTATCTGCATTACCTGCAGTTCCACACTCGTGAAAATTTGTTTCTCTTGGTCACACACGACTAAAAACGAAATATCTTAAGGGGCCACACAGGAAACGACTAACAGTGGCATGGCAGCCACAGGCTATATAGTCAGTGACGGTCAGTGGCTTCAAGAGGTGATGGGTGAAATAATAGCTGACAGTAGGTGGGTCCCAAGTTAAATTATTCACAACTTTAAAGTGATTAAAGTTATTATCAAAGAGAGCACAGGACATAAATGTATGAGAAGGTGGTAAATACATTAGAGGATTCCCTTGGTAACTGGAGGCTGGAATGTCTGTTAGCGACCAACTTGTATGTGCAAGTGATGTGCAACAAGTTTCCTGTGTTGACGGATAGTCTTTTCTTAAAAATGAACTTATAGAAAACTGTTGTTGTTTTTTTTATATATAGTTTTTGACCAAAGGGCTAAAAACTGCAGCCCTTTGTGGTGTTTTGAGTGAGATTTGACTTACATTTCTTGTGTTGATCTGTTTCAGATGAAAACAGAGTTTTGAGATCGACCATTGGAAAAAGAGAGACCCTAAAAGAGGAGAAATGGAAAAGCCAGTGTTGCAGACACAGCCTTCCACCTTGCCTTTTTTCGACACGGCCCACGCCTTCAACCTGCTTCGAGGAATTCACGAACTGCGTGCCGAACGAAAGTTTTTCGATGTGACTTTATGTGCCGAGGGGCGTGAGTTCCACTGTCATCGCACGGTGTTGGCCGCTGCCAGCACCTACTTCCGGGCTATGTTTGCAGGGACACTCAGGGAGAGTGTTATGGACCGGGTTGTTTTACACGAGGTGTCAGGTGAGCTCTTAGGTCTGCTGGTGGACTTCTGTTACACAGGACGGATCACCGTCACTCAGGATAACGTGGACCTGCTTCTGAAGACGGCCGATCTGTTTCAGTTCCCCTCAGTCAAAGAGGCATGTTGTGCTTTTCTGGAGCAGCGGTTGGATGTTTCCAACTGTTTAGAGATCCAGGACTTTGCAGAGGCCTATGCTTGCAAAGAGCTGGCAGCCAGCGCACGGCGTTTTGTCCTCAAAAACATAATGGAGCTAGCTAAAGGGACAGACTTTGAACGCTTGCCATGGAAACGCCTCCTTGAGTTTGTGTCGGATGATGAGCTTTGTGTGGACAAGGAGGAGACAGTTTATCAAATTGCAGTGCGTTGGGTGAAGGCTGATCTCCAGCGACGACTACACTATTGGCCCGAGCTCCTCCAGCAAGTCCGACTCCCCTTTGTCAGGAGGTTCTTCCTGTTGGCCCATGTGGAGAGCGACCCACTTGTCTACCTTTCACCCACCTGTCTCCGTATGGTGAATGAAGCGCGTAGCTTCCAGTCCTGTGAATACGACCGTCACGACAGACCTTGTCATCGCATGCGGCCTCGGCCGTCCACGGGATTGGCAGAAATCCTGGTGGTGGTAGGAGGCTGCGACCAGGACTGTGATGAGCTGGTCACAGTGGACTGTTACAACCCTCATACTGGACAGTGGCGCTACTTGGCTGAATTCCCCGACCACCTGGGAGGAGGCTACAGCATAGCAGCACTCGGAAATGATATGTATGTTACAGGTAAGACATCAAAAGTAAGGCTGTGATGCTGATCCAGTCCAATCCAGTTTTATTTAGCACTTTTTAAAAACAACAGTGTTTGAGAAAATGTTGTACAAAAACACCACAACAAAACAATAAATCATTCAATACAACATTAGAACACACCATTTTCATACTCAGTTAAAAGCTGTTGAGTAAAAAATTGTTTTATGACGCATTTTAAAAACAGGCAACTAGCTGGACATCCTAACATGGGCAGGGAAATGATTCCACGGTTTGGGGATGATTGCCTCTGTTTTGGGGGGACTAGCAGGAGGAGCTGGTCCACTAACCTCAGTGACATTAAAGGTTTTAAAAGCAAATAATAAAGCATTGCTAAGGCCAATATAAATTGTGTTACAATAGTCCAGATGATAAAAGCATCATTAAAATGTTCAAAAACTTTAAAGTATAACCCAGATTTGACCTTGTATTAAAGCCTCAACTGGTAAAAACTCACATTAAATATAAATATATATCTTTATCTTGTTTATCTTGCTTAAAATCACAGTCCAGTTTGACACCAAGGTTGGTTACCATGGTTTTTACAGATTTGAGTCATCTTAACCATAAAATGGATAGATACTGGCAAGCATTTTATTTGCCCATAGCCATAACCATTGTGACATCACCATTTGTATTTAGAAGTCTCAGCTCTAGCATTATGGAGGTTGTTGTTTTGATTTTGCTGTTCCTGGTCTTTCATGATTTGAGAAAAATATCATCTGCTGTTTATTAATAAACTGCAGTCTCTACGGCTACTGACTTTGTGTGAACAAGGAGAAGTGAGTCAGGACACAGTGTGCTGACAGAACAGCAGTGGTGTTATCTTTATCATCACCATCATTACCAGTAACTGAGCATGTCTGAACAGTGAGATATCTTCTTGAGAAATCATCATAGACCTTCACTTTAGGCTTGTTACTCCTACAAGATTCTGATGGTGGGCTACAAAGTTAGCAGTGTTACCTCATGCGTCAGTGGCAGAAATAACAGCCGTATATGATTGCATAATGTTGTCAAGTGGATTTACTGTTCCTAACATTTGATACACTTTCTTTAATTAAACATACTAAGAGGAGTTGTTTAGAAGATGCTGTAATTTTCACAGTCTGGTGATTCCAGATGGTGACTTTGAAATGGGGATTTCCAGACTTAAAGCAAAGCTTCTATACAAAACAAGAGCACTTTGAGACTGTCCGCTGAGACAGATCTTTTCTTGACAGATGAAAATGTCTTCCAGTTTAATTTGTATTTGTGCAGATCTGTTATGAAATGTTTATTTGGCTCTGTCTTTTTGGAAGAGTCCTCCCAAAAATTAATAGATGCAGAACCAGGTCTGGGTCATATCCAAAGGTTCACTTAATAGTTGGACCTCTGGTAAAATCTTTCATTCATATCTGCAACGACCTCTCTGAGTAATGCTGCTAACATTCAGGCCAACCAGATCAATCACATTATCTCCTTGGCTGGTGATAAAGACCTTCAAAATTACTGCCTTGTACACTAATTTAGAAATAAAATCCCACACCACTGATTTCTTAACCGTGGCTGTTTAGGTTGTATCAAATTTAACTTCAGGGGTTTTCCCTGGCTCAAAATGGACTTCTGTGGGGTCCATAAGGATAATCAGCTTTCATCTACAGCAGATGCAATGAATCTTCATTAATGCATTTGGCAAATATGTGCAATTTCATGATATTTCTGACCATTTCTAACCAAGAAGACACATATCTGTGTCTTTTAGGTGGCTCTGATGGCTCCCGCCTCTATGACGGTGTGTGGCGCTACAAGTCCAGCGTGAACGAATGGACAGAAGTGTCACCCATGCTGAAGGCTCGTGAATATCACAGCTCCTGCATCCTGAAGGGCCAGCTGTATGTGGTGGCTTCGGACAGCACAGAGCGTTACGATCAGGCTCTGGACTGCTGGGAGGCCCTGCCAGCCATGCTGCATCCGATGGATAACTGCTCCACCACCGCATGCAGCGGACGCCTGTATGCCATCGGCTCTCTGACCGGTGAGGACACCATGGTCATCCAGAGCTACGATGCAGACACCAACCGCTGGACCATGGTCAACTGTGGACAGCTGCCTCCGTGGTCCTTCACACCGAAAACTGTTACCCTAAATGGCCTCATCTACTTTGTCAGGTGAGGTAGAATCTTTTCCAGTTGTTTCTTACATCTTTAATTTACTTTTTGCATTTAGACTATAGTTTTAAAACCGTAAACACCAGGGACAGAATGTAATTAAGTACATTTGCATAAGTAATTTGTTTAGGAGGAGACTTGTTAGCTGTATTCTTTATATTCGTCTACTTTATCTTCAAGGGAAATGTAATTTTTACTTGAAAACCTGAGTTATGTAAATGTATATTTATATTTAAATGCACTTAATTCAAATTGCTCGTTTTTCATTTTTATCTTAAATACTTACCTTACGATTTATGTGTACAGGATCTGAGTCGTTCTTCCACATGTGCTAACAGCAACGGTGTTAAGCATACTCCTGAAGGGTCTAATAAATGGTTTTTAAAAAGGGTCAAAGTTGCAGAGAAGTAATCTGAAATCCCTTTTTTTCATTGAGTTTTCATTGTTTTCAGGAGATTTTTTTTTATATGAGCTCTTGTGCAATGATTTTACTTGCCCTGCCCACTTGAGATCAAATTGTGCTGCTTGCGGCCAATGACCTAAAACGACCCCAGTGCCACCCGATTTAGACTTTCACAGAATGAGGGACACTGGACCACATGAACACACTAGTGTTGATCTTTTCTATCCAGTTCTTTCATGTTGAAAGATCAATTTAGTTCTTTGGGCTCTGCATTTGTTATTTAATATAACAAATATTACATCAATTTGCCACTGACTGTTGATGAGGTTGGTCTTTACATATGAAAGAGAAATAAACATGTTTTGACTGGGTTGTTAGATTTGAAGCTGAGATTGTGTTGTTGCTTTGGCAGCTCTTTGACTGGAGTTTCTTTCTATTTGCAGGGATGACTCAGCTGAAGTTGATGTTTATAATCCTCAAAAGAACAAGTGGGACAAAATTAGTCCGATGACCCAGGTTAGTATTTCACACCAGGTGCTTATGTGCTCCAATAGCAATCATTGTGATCTGATCCCTGTCCTTAGGCAGAAGAGCACAAATGTCACTCAAACTAAGTCAGTTACAACATGATGATAAATGCATGAATAAAAATAAACGTATCCACATTTCTCACCTCCAATTTCAGTTTAGGACAACCACACCTTATCACAAATTGACTGGCTTGCCAGAGAAACAAATTAGATAATTAGAGAGAGTGTACAACGCCTTATCTTCCACTAGCTCATTTAGTTTTTTAGCTTTGTATTTGTGATCTCAGGAATATACACTCAACAAAAATATAAACGCAACACCTTTGTTACTGCTCCCATTCCCCATGGGATGGACGTAGA